CCCTTCGATTTTCCTATCTACAGGAATTCAGATAGTAAAATTTGTAACTTTTATTTGCGTTGATTGTACTGCATTAAAAAGCAATGAATTTTTATTATTAAGGATATTTTTTTAAGCATTTATATTACAAGATGTCGGATTTAAAGTAGATATTCTTAAGTGAAAGGGAGTTTGGTGTCGCCTAAGTCCGTTCAATGTGTAAAAGCTGATTATATCTCTATTATAGTTAATTAAATCTAGAATGAGAACACAAAAATACGTAAGATGATTAACAAGAATTCGTTCTTGTTGTTGTACTTAGTATTAAAGACTTCGACTTTGAACCCCAATATTTCAAATATAAATATCAATTAATATCACTCTTTTGTTCTTCTTTACTTAAATTAGGTTTTAATACAAAAAGTGAACTTAATTCTTATGATATCTTAATTTTATATAAATTCTTAAAACAAAATCATAGGGAGTACCAACAACATAAACTCATCCGTAAAGTTCAAAAGTTTTTTTTGTTTGAAAAAATTACTTCAAATAGCTTTAGAGTAAATAAGCAATATTTCTTTCAGAAAAAAATTTCTGAATAAAGAGTATCAAATTCAGCATCATTTATTTCGAATTAAAGGATTCCGTAAAATTATTAATTTGCTTATAGTTAAACTTTAATAATTAATGACACTATCACTGAAGTTTAAATGCAAACTGCACGCATTGTCGGGAATTAGAGGGTTAAGAATTGAAAACTGCACGCATTGTCGGGAATTAGAGGGTTAAGAATTGAAAAGGTAGAATTTCGCTACAAGTGCTTCGCACAAAGAGAATTAATACAAAAATGTTCACGTATAAGAAGTTTTAAATGTAAATATAAAAACAAGTGGACTATATATGTGTGTATGTAGGAAAATATGTACATGACACCGAAATCAAGATCAATCAAAGCAAAAAGGAATCAAAACATGTAATTGAAACGGCTTGAAATTGCGCAGTTCAGTTTACGATGCCGCTTTGATCCGTTCGTTATTTGCTTCAAATTGCTTTCGGAAAATAATGTTAATATATTTAAAAACTGATAAAAAAAGTGTAAACTAATTATTTAAATAAATCTTGATTCTTTTTTAAAAAAGTTTAACTATTCATAGTTTTATAAAGTAATTTTGATGTGTGATAAAATAACTGTTATTATATAGAGTGCTCTTACATACATAAATACATATGCAGCTGGCAGAAAAAACGGGAAGTAAAATAGCCGAAGCTAGTGTGTGTAAAATACACAAACAACAAAGCGTATATTGCAGTTGCAATGCTGCGAGCAGAGCAGAGGTTTTAAAACGAACAACAGAAAGCATTGACGCGGCATCTTTGTTTTTGGAACTGTCAGAAGTTAAAAACAGCGAAAAAATTTACAATTTTGTTTGTGTTATAGAAAATAGTGCCCAAAGTTATTATTTCAATAAATGTAAGCACAACTAACACATTGGCAGAAATTCAAAATTTGTGTTAACACAGAAAAAATTTAATAAAATATGAAGTTGACTGTAGACTATAGTCGAAAGATCAGTGCAAAAAAAAAAACATTACATATTATTTAACGTTAAACAATTAGTCGTTTCAAAATATATAAATAAAATATGATTGAAATAAATTTTAATTATTATTATTAATTGTTGGGCTTACATTCAAATTTAATGTTTATGGTAAAAAGTGAATCTATAAAAAAAGTGAACATATAAAGGTACGTTATCTTTTTTATATTTACAGTCAGCGACAAAACTCTACATACACCCCCCATTTTTGCTAGCTCGTAAATCCAAGGACATAGTAGAAAAAAGTAATGATACAGTTTTGTTTAGAACTGTTTTTTATTAATAATAAACAAAAGAAAATCCATTCATCAATATAAATTAACAAAGTTATTCGAAAAAAACCTAAAAAAATCATTGACAAAAGTCTACATACACTTCATTGGTTGTTAGATATAGTCGACAGTAATTTAAATGTTAAACGGGAAAGTACCGTTTTTCATATTTCATGCTTGTGGCATGAGTCATACATTTATATAATGCACTTAGTTGTGCTTTGAGAGTGGTATTTAATTGACACGAGGGGTCACGAAAAGAATTTCAAGTGATATGCGAAATCTGGTTATTAAGCATAGAAATGAAAAAAAAACTTTTGGTAAAAATATCAAAACTAGTAAATTTGACTCGATCAACAGTTCAGACGATAATAAAAAATTATAAAAATAGTGGTTCTATTGAAAATAAGCCTCGCAGTGGCCGCCCAAGGATACTCATACGTAGGGATGTCAGCTTGGTTTTAAAAGAAGTTAACAAAAATCCGAAAGTAAGTGCCTTAAAATTAGTCGAACACATTGCTAGTGCAACTGGGAAGCATGCCAATCTACGTCATGAAAACCGTGGCTGTTCAACGTTCCTTGTACTATACGTGGATTGACATGCTTTCCAGTTGCACTAGCAATGTGTTCGACTAATTTTAAGGCACTTACTTTCGGATTTTTGTTAACTTCTTTTAAAACCAAGCTGACATCCCTACGTATGAGTATCCTTGGGCGGCCACTGCGAGGCTTATTTTCAATAGAACCACTATTTTTATAATTTTTTATTATCGTCTGAACTGTTGATCGAGTCAAATTTACTAGTTTTGATATTTTTACCAAAAGTTTTTTTTTCATTTCTATGCTTAATAACCAGATTTCGCATATCACTTGAAATTCTTTTCGTGGGCCCATCGTGTCAATTAAATACCACTCTCAAAGCGCAACTAAGTGCATTATATAAATGTATGACTCATGCCACAAGCATGAAATATGAAAAACGGTACTTTCCCGTTTAACATTTAAATTACTGTCGACTATATCTAACAACCAATGAAGTGTATGTAGACTTTTGTCAATGATTTTTTTAGGTTTTTTTCGAATAACTTTGTTAATTTATATTGATGAATGGATTTTCTTTTGTTTATTATTATTAAAAAACAGTTCTAAACAAAACTGTATCATTACTTTTTTCTATTATGTCCTTGGATTTACGAGCTAGCAAAAATGGGGGGTGTATGTAGAGTTTTGTCGCTGACTGTATATTCCAACTTCATTTCGTTTCTATTTGCACTGTGGTAGACAAAAAATGTCCGATAAAAGAAATATTTGTTGTTTTTATATATTGTTAATAGTTTCATCAGTACTTATATTAATATATTTGTTAATAAAATTTTTAATAAAAATATGTCTTCTATATTTATAATATTTTCTACAATTATGAGTGTTATATGGCATTTACACTGGCCTCCAATGGCTCGTTTCAAATAAGTCATTTAAAAGAGTTTACATTCGTTGTAATTCATTTCTTCTCATTTCAAACAGCTAATTTCACAACTTGCCTGTTGATCTGATTTTTGGCCTGTGCTAAAAAAATGTTGGATGAAAGTTAAATATACCTCCAAACCTTACAATATACACTGAAAACTTATTTTTAGCTTTGATTAATTTATTTTTGTGAAGTAGAAGTTCCAAAAAGGGGTGCATAGTTTTCAAGGAAATGCAACCACCAAACATTTGTTTACCTTTTTTTGTAAATATGTCAAAAACAGCTTTCTCAAACTGTCAAAAACCCATGAAAAGCTTTTATTTAGGGTATCTTCAATGTATTCATTTGCATTTGGAACTCATTCTAACTTCGTTGGAACTAATTTATACAGATCCAATGGCTCTCATTTGTACTTGAGATTTTCTATGCAAAAATGAGTCACTTGCTTCTCATTTTTGATTTTTAACCAAAATGAGCCATTTGAGGCCTGTGTAAATGCCACATTACTGTGTAGCTGTGATTGCAATGCCAATACGTTTTTGAAGACGGATCGGGTTTATTTATTGTAATCCGCAAACACTCGAACTAACATCAATTTTAAGTGAAGAATGAATTCTTATATAGTAAAGTATCTTTATTTTTAAAATAATTTATTTTTAGATTATTTAAAAGTTTTTTAAAACACATTTATTTATAAACTTAATTTTATCACAAAAAAGAGGCATAAATTAAAAAATAATTTATGTAGAAGGTTATTTATTGTGTGGGGTCCGAAAATAAATATAAATAAACCTCACTTTCATTTCGATTTTATTAAAAAAAATTTTTTGTATGTATTGTTTAAAATTTAGTCATTTATGAGAAATAATAAGCCCCTAAGTTCTTACACTTACATCACTGAATCTTTTTGAATTCATTTTTAATAACTTTTCACCACATAGTCAACAAAACCTCGATCAAAAATGCCACTGTTTATAATAAGTTTTCATGACTTTAACAAGTTCAGCGGTTTCTAAACGATCCATTTTGTAAAATGGCAAATTTTATACTAAACGTGTGATGCCGTGGATGACATTTCTTCTTGTGTTTTATTACTAAACAGTGCTACTAAATCAGAACAAAGCAATAGATAACCCTTTATCTGCTAGTTTTCCAAGCACAATTAGACTGAATTTTTAAAGGAAAATCTTCTCTTGAAGAGTATAAAATATATTATTTGGTCTTCCTGCTCTTTTATTACTTATATTTTCATTCACATTTTTTCAAAATTGCATTATACGTTTTTTTTTTGAATTTTTTACTACAATTCGAGCACAGGTAATTCTTCTTCTTCGTTGTTGTTTACACATTTTTTCATAGCGGGCAAACGTCAGAGTCGACTTTATCTGAGAAATGCTCTTACCTTATCTGAAAATCACGTTATCACATTTTAAAAATGATTTTCTTTTTCATTTTATTTTGCTGTCATTTTCGTTTATCACTTTTTTCGCTATGCCATATCTTTGAATGCCGACTTATACTTCAATTCTATGCATGAATGTTTGTGTGTATGTTTGGTGAAATATATGTATGTATGAGGCTAAAGTATGCGTATTTTCATATGCTTTCTGGTGTGTATATGCTTGTGTTTACGTAGTATACACTTTACTGACGTCATTGAGCTTTTTATTGATTTTCATTTTGAGATTTGGTATCCTGTTTTTCTTCTTCTTCTGCGTCTGCTGCTGTTGCTGCTGCCACTGCTGTTTGTTTGCGCAAATCCACAAACAGCGAGTATGTATGCTTAAGCATTGCCCTTAATGTCCAAACATGTACTTATAGCGCTCACACACTACACACTACATGCGTGCATATATACATATGTATGTACATCTCTTTTTTGTTTTCTACTGATGGACAAATTTTTATTTTTATTGCTTCAACTACCCAGCGGCACCATTATGCCAGCGCTGAAAAAGTAAGCGAGGAGGTAATAGCTCTTCGTTTTTATTTTTCTTT